AGATTAAATGAGTGAATGTAGATTTTACGATCAATGAAAGCAGTGGTGCAGTCGCGACGTGTAAAATAGACAGTGATCAAGGAGAAGGATAATATAACATTTTAAAGAAATCTCTTATATTCTCAAAGGTAAAATAAGAAAGAATATTAGAAAGAGAGAGATCAAAATGATACCATGGAACAGGGTGATTTTTTGAATGAGCCCAACTAAGGAGTTCTATAGGAAGTGATGTCGAGAAATTTGGATCGGTGGAATGTAGCAATATGTGATGTTTTGTTGAAGCAGGTATTTTCCGATCGAATTTTGAATAAATATATTCATCTCGAGAAGAAGACGTTGGTTTTAATAAAATTGTTGAAGTTTTAAAAGTATGGTACTCCATTGATGGATCCCTTCTAAGTGCTAATACAGTTATGTGCTCACTTACACCACCATTCCGTATTGAAGGCATAGATAATGAATCTATTCTAAAATAATCATCGTCATCACTATCTATATCATATTTCTCTTGGAGAATTTCAAAATCATCCTCATCATATATTACTCTTTTTTCAATAAATCTACTACAATCCATAACCTCAACTCGTTTTAGTCTCGAAAATTTAGTATAAAATAATGGTACACACATTTCGAAAGTAATATTCATACATTCGATAATACTTAAATATTCTAATTGTTTACAACTTGCCACCACTTCAAAAATACAACCTTCAAAATCTACTGCGTAAAATTCGAGTCGTTTTAGAGAATTAATTTGAGTATTTAAAGATTCCAAAAAGTAATTCGTGAAATATTGGTAATTTTGGAGAATGAAAGAGGATAGACGTGTTTGAGAACAAATAAATATCGCTAGATCAGTGGCTTGTTGTTTGTTTAGAAATAGAGAGGCAGCTGCTGGATCATGTGCAAAGTTTGTTGATAAGGAATCCTATTAAAAAATATGAAACGAAATCGTGAGATTATGATACCGAAAAATGGATTGTATTGTGTTTTGTGAACTTAAATAATAATATAATAATAATAAACCAAAATAATAAATTAATGATAACTAATAAATTAATATATATTTATTTATTTATATTTATTTACGGTATTTATAGGCGCTGTTCAATCGGGGGAGATCTATTTTTAGATCCGATCAAAAACTATGAAAAAGTCACGTTTTTTCACTTTTGATCACGATTTCGATCGATAGAAGTTCGAATTGCATTGATTAATATTGTAATCAAGAATGTAAAAACGTGATTTTTTCAAAGTTTTTGATCAGATCTAAAAATAGAACCCCTTTCCTATTAAAAAGCGCTCGTAAATATATATATATGTGCCTATCTTCAATTTCATTACAATTTCGTTCTCTAATAAAATCAATATTTCAAAAATTTATAAAAATTCGCTTACCAAATTTTTGCAAACATTCCCAAGAGCGTACAAAAATCCATCTAACGTAAATGCATCCCATTCTAAATTCATATACCGAATACCTTCAAATAACGGTCGCATACTCGTATCCATCAGCACCGCACCAAAATTTATTGCTCTTAAATTTTCAAAGTAATTGTCGTTAAGTAATAAGGTAGGCACGTTACTCATGGAGAAGTGTGTTATCGGAGCTCGTTTGTCAGCGAATAATTTTAAAAGGGATTTCAATACTAATTCATGTTTGTTGTTTGAATAAGTGGGATTTGTAGGAGAAATTGATGTAGTAGAATTTGCAAAAGTCGATTCGTTAAAATTTGCAGAAGTCGACTTAGTGGAATTTACAGGAAAAGTTATAGAATTCGTTTGAGGAGAAATTTTGCTTTCAGATAGGGAAGCTTGATCCTTAAAAGTAGTTTCAAAGAACGTAAGACCAGGAAAGTTGTCAAGTTCGGGGAATGTAGACTTCTTTTGTTGAAAATTATCAGAATTCGTATCGCAAAAATTCGGTTTAACGGGACCTCGATATTTGTTACACCAAACAAATATCATTTTCAACAATTTATCGAAATTCAACTCTTTTAGATAGACAGGATAATCAAACATCGGCTTTCTCAAGATTTCTACACTATTTTTATTTTCATCAGTAACGTAAGTATCATCATCATAATCACCAATAATAATCTTATTATGATCAAAGTCGAATTTTTCAAATTTTCTTATTCTATCAAATATTTTAAGCCTCTTTAACCTATCCAATCTATTCTGAGTATCCGAATTCTTTTCTGATCTCATTTTTTCCAATTCTTCTTTTTTAATCTTTTCTAACTTTTCTCGTTCAAGTCTCAACATTTCCAAATTTTCAGATCTTTCCCACTCAATAGGATCATTCTCAGAATCCACAAAAATTCCGGCCTTGTCCAATCTAATACCAGCTCGTTCGATCTCTTTTAAATTTTCATCCTCCAAAGACAACATATATGTAGAAATTACTTCAATTTTTATAGTCTGAATAGGGTAAAAAGTATCAGACCATAAAATAGGTACAGCACATTTACACCAATTCTTGCAGACCAAAAGACAATTATAGAGGGTACCGATTGAAGTAGCATTACGATAATGTCCACGAAGCCCGTAAATGATTTGAAATATTCGTTCTAGAACTTCTGGAGGAAAGCGGTCATTATTTACAGTAAGGGAAGGCATTTTTGCTTTATTTTAATTTATTATTATTGGGGGGGTTTTTTTTTTCAAGGCCTATTAATTAATTAAAAAGAGATTTACTTTTTTTCATTAAAAAAAAAAAATAAAATAAGGAGACTAAAAAAAAAAAATTGAAATTAAAAGATTAAAAAAATAAAAAAAAATAAAACTAATTATTTACCTTATTATGTAAATTCTATTAATAATAATTTAAAATTTATGTGAAAATGAAAGCTTAAGAAATATAAATCTTTTAAATTCTTGTATTTGATAGTCGTTAATTTTTGTTGTTTTTTATCGTTAAAATTATCGTCAAAGTTTATCGTCGATTAAATTCAAATATCGATTTTTCGGACGAGATAAACCTTTTTCAGGGCAAAATTTCACAAAATACGTTGAAGTGGATCACACAATTGAGAATGCTTATGGTAGGAAAGAAGAAAAACCAAAGCGTAAATTTGTATCCTGTAAAGGTAGTAACTTATATATATGAATAGAGTGGCGATCTTTATTCGATGTCTTACAACCGATGACAAGCCACACATATAGATACACACATTTATACTGTACAACCCAAGTAAAAATATAATTAATTATTTTCTTTTGTTTAGGAGAATGAAAAAAGTTTGTCGTCTAAATTAGAAAGAAAAGGATCAGATGAAAACAAACTTTCTTTTGATAAACGTTTAAATTAGAATAGAAATGGTATTTTGTGTAAAAAAATAATAGTATCGCAATTAACACAAGAATTTAAAGTTAAATGCGATTAAGTTTAAAAAAACGTGAATTCCATAACGAAAATTAAATAGAAAAGTGAAAGAGTTGAGATACCTCCAGAATTTCAAAAAAAAGCTTCGTTTTGATGAAAGGTGTTAAATGGGCGTTTATTTGTGATACAGAAGTTCAAACCTTGAATAAATAAACTGCATATTTGTTTATAGGTGATACATTGCACATAAAAGATAATACAGAAACCCATTATTAAGATCGTTATCTGTATTTGACAGTCACATGTTTAGTACCACCTTTAGACATCATTATTATAAGGTGAATGGTACATCGAAGATTTAACTTTATTTCTCAAGATTTCCAAATAAAATGGGCATATGAAGTATTTTTAGAAAGACTTAGACAGGGTCCCAGGTCCTTTTTCCGAGAAAGACTAGTAAAAAGGAGAATGCATAATCTACACTTTTATATATTAAAAGATTTATTACGTATGTTGGTTTTCATACCACATAGACACATACCTTTTTTATTCGCTTAAGTTTGACTTGGTATATACAGTATACTTAAGTATTTATTGTACATATGCATTGTACGTACGTACGTACGTACTGTACTTACCTACGCACATATTATAAATACATCGCCACGCAATTGATGAATTCCCGGTTTAAACTTTCTTTCACACTTACATAATGAATGTCATATTTTAAACTTATTTATATTACAACGGGTGAATACTTGAGGCTAAAACTATACTTGGAAGTTAGAACGAGTATTAAAAACGATTTAGTCTCTACCAAATATTATTAGATTATTATTATGTAGATTATTATTAGAGGATTATTATTGGATTATTATTGGATTATTATTGGATTATTATTGGATTATATATTATTAAATTTCTTTTAAATTACTTTATATTACTGTATGTATAATAATAATTCATAATAAATTTCAATTATAATAATTCATGTGAATTTATTAACACGAATGTCAAATTTTTGAAACAAAGGGTCTGAAGAAGAAATCATTAATTATATATATACCATATAAATCTTCCTTCTAATGAATCATGCAATTTCATGATTGGTACAAAATTTGTAAAAAAAATGTGCGTCGCTATATCGATATGATGTTTATAACCATTTTTAGGTGTAATGATGTGTAAACGGGTCCAAGCTTCGCTTCATAAACGAAACATACCTACTTATAAACTATTTAATCATTGTTAATCAAACACACGGACCATTCAGAAACAAGTTCTTAAAATCCTCCGAATATCATTTTACATTAAACTAGTAGAGTATCCAAGTATTGATATAAATGTAATTTTGTACTATGTAACATTGCATCACAAACTAACCTTCTATGTTTGTTAAAATAATTTACTAGTGTTACTTATATTGTTTCAATTCTTTCGCATTTAAGTATTCGTTGTCCTAATCATTTGCTTTTATATCATTATACTTTCATTTAAAAAGTTCTATTTATAATCATTCGTCGTATGATTATGTGCAAAATGTATGCGTGACGTATTTTCGCATTATTTTTATTGGTTAAATTCCTGTTATTATGTATGTACATAAGTGTGTATGTACGTACTTGTTACATTAAACCTAAAAATATCTCTTTAAAAGGGACTAACTAATTTATAATTCTTGGCATATTTATGCTAATATAAAGAATTTTCGATAATTCTTCCTAGTTTCTTATTACGTAAATTTATCAAAAATTCGTATATTTAAAAATGTGAATGTCATGTATCCATGTGATCATGCAATTTTATACATTATAAGTTGTTTTCCTCAACATTTTCATTATTAATGGGTTTTTAGATAGATTATCCGTGTAAATGAAACTCATTATTTTTATTGGTTAATCTGTATAAAGTCACATGGGAACATGGCTTTACATATCGATATATATCTAAGTTAGTATAGCCGTAATTCTAAGTTACGCAGACAGTATGTATGGGTGACTAGATCCATATAGTACTGTAGTATGGGGTGTAAAATACCTATTTTAAAATCCGTATCATGCTGATTCGATGTTCATATATTATTAGGGTTATAACGTATTGATCGAGCTGAGGAGTTCAAATTTCTATAATGAATATCCGTTATAGTATTACGTATAACTAATGATAATCGGTCAATTATTTAGTAATCGATTATTGATCGATTATACATATAATAATAAATTGATACCTTAATGGTCATAGTACTTTGATCGGTCGCGGTACTTTGATACCTTAATAGGTCATAGTACTTTGATCGGTCACGGTATTTTGATCAGTCACGATACTTTGATCGATCATGATGATTTGATCAGTTACGACTCTTTGATCAGTTAGAATTTGGAGGTAGCTACCAGCAAATATACCACGACGATACGGCATATTTATCGTATATACCGTACGAATACTAGTACCCTAGCCATAGGGTGCGGAGAAAAAAGCCCGGTAAGCCCGATTGATTTTGAAGGCTATAAAAATAATAATACACGATCGGTGCTT